CTGGGGGAGATGGAGAGAACTTTTCAGTAGCATCTGCATTCCTGTGAACTTGGCTCACATTTTTAGTGACAGGTTCTTTTAGCATCCTGAGGAGTTGAGATCATCGAGCAACCCCAGCCCTGTTCAATGCACAGTACACCATCCTTTCAGGCTTAGCTTTAAAACAAATCCCACTATAGCATTTGATTCAGAGGAATTTGGAATTTAAAAGGCATAGTTTTGAATGCCCAAACAAAGAAGAGTGGCTGAAATCATGAAACAGGAGTAGCAGGTAAAGAAAGATCCTCCAGTAAAGACATGAAAATATTAAAAACAAAGGAATCCGGATCTGGTACACAAGTTAGAAAAGCGATGTTTTGTTTTTCTTTCCTTAGTTCTTGGACTGGAAATATTGATTTGTTATTTATACAGAGGAGAGAAAAAATGAGGATGATATTTTGTTTCCTTGCAGATAAGTTGTTTTGAAAAAAAAATTTTAATCAAATGCTGTAGTGGAAGAGCAGCCCATCAAACTCAGAAATGCTATGCTTCTCGTTAGCAACAGTCCCTGGTTTGCATTTCCATACTGGCATTTTAGGTTCATGCACAATAATGAAATCTGACACACTGATGAGGAGCGTTCTCATATATATATATATATATATATATACATATATACACACATTTATATATATATATATGTACAGTCATTAAGATAGAAATTCTTTAAAGTATTTGATCAGAGGTAATCGCATCATGAGTGATTTTAAACCTCTTAACTTTGTAAGAGTTCAGAAAGAAACAGAACATCAAACTCAGTGGCTCTCAGGGACTGTTTGCAACTGTCATGGTTGGCTGTTCCAGAGACCATGCAATTGTTCTAAAATTTCATATTTTTAACATGCAGGAACAGGCTGAAACTGGTAATCAAAGCAGCAAAAAAAAGCAACAACAAAACCAAACCACACCATTTGCTATAAGAAGATTAACTGTTAATTATAAGCAGTCACATTCCAAAGCAGCACATACATAAAAAGGAAAACATGCTATTACTCGTCATTCCTTCTGAGTCAGTTTTACATTCACACCAAATGCAAATTAGAAATCTCAAAAGACAAACCACACACACACACACACACACACACACACATACACACACACACACACACACACATAACACACCAGCAAGAATGATCAATGAGAGGCTCAAAGACAAGACAGAAACAGTTAAAAAAATGATTGAGCCCCATATGTTGACAAACCTTCATGAAACACAATGGCTAAACCAAGGTCCACCAGTTTGTAGGGTGACTCCTTCTCTACTTCTGGAAGAATCCATGTGCGTTGACCCTTTCTCCCACATTGGTGTCTTCCCTATAGGCATTTCCAGGCCTACTTTCTTAAAGGGGAAGGCTAACTGACCTTCCTCTTGTGGAGTGGTCCATCAGGCTTGAAGGATAATATGTGCCAGCTAAAAAGAGATTTCCTTTCGGAAATGGTTCAAGTCACAGACAAACCCTTTAATTAAGAACTTCATCTCCCTCTCCAATGGTAGGTATTTCAGAGTATGTAGATATTCTATGTTTAAAATTATATATACTACTGAATTGAAATGTAAAATTGGTTAACATGATATGGCCATGCTCCTAATTTGGGATTACTTCAACTCTTCTAGGCTTCCCACTCCTTCCATTTCATGGATATTTGGCATCAATAGTATTTTATTGGTGACTTTTGCCTTTTCTAGAAATGATCTGGGTTAGAAGATTAATTTAGGCATCAGAGAGAGAGAGTAACTTAAAACTCTCAAGTTTAGGTAGCAAAACAGCCAGTTGGAAAGTTTTGCTATTTATTTAAAAAGGAAGTCAGTCTCTTATCTATTCTCTGGCCACACAAAGCACTCTCTCTTTGTCCCTGTTGGTTTTTGCTATTTTTTCCCCTTAGTAGTTATTCATGCTCTCTACCCAAATGCCAATCCTTGGAGAAAGATTTTCCAAGGGATTTCAATGGCAATGCAAAGTAGATCTATGAGGACATCTAGTGGACTGGAGTGGGATTGCAGCTGAACAACATGATCATCAACCTGAACTTGCTGGGCTTTCTCTGAAGGGAGCAACCAAAGAGCCTTACTGTCCTCTCAGAATCGCAACGTGGACAGTGTCATTTCAATTCAGTGGCTGTTCCAATATATAACAGATGTTTGTGGTCAGAAGGGACAAAGGGAGGAGAGGTCTTAAGAGATAATCTTAGCGTAATCAATAATAGCATCTTACAAACTCATTCTTTTCTGCTGTACCAGCTGACCATGTCTTCACAAGGCCCTGCTGTAGCTTCCTGAGACTGAGAACAGACAAGAGTACATAGCTGCAGGTGCGAAGCCTGCAGCTAATTGTCATTCTGTCTTAGGGCTCTTATAACTGTATGCTCAATTAATTGCCACCTGTAGGCCAACTTAACTCTGAGAAAGCAGAAATATAAGCCTCCCAGGACTCTGTTTTCTCATTGGCACACATCATAAGGCTCTGGTTCCCAGAACAGTGCCACAGATTCAAAGAAGTTATGCAGTTGCCAAGAATTAAATTCTGGGTCTCACCTTCCTCCAAAAAACTATGCTTGAGCAGTTTCAAAATTTGAGAAAAAGCTCTTATGTGCGTCTTTCTTCACCACTATAAAATAGATATTCATCCAGTATTTCCATTATGACTTCCTTGTAGTATTTATAGCGATGAAATGAAAGTCTTTCCCTAATGGACACCATCAAAGGTATTTTAAACACTGATAAGATTTCTCAGACATGAGCTTGGACAACTGATTATTTTGTTCTATTTTCAGAGGTCATGGTCAGAAAAGATGAAGCCTGCTGCAGATGTACCACAGTTACCAGGGACAAACTGACAATCAGCAGTCAGACTCAGGTACTGTGCTGTTTAAACCCTGCTGAGTCTTTCCAAGCCAAGCCTGGAAAGAAAGGGAGAGCTGGAAGCTCTCCTTCCCTCTGCACCATCTGCCTCCAGAAGCAGCAACCAAATGGCCAGCCAATTTGCAATTGTAGAATGTTAATTTCCAGGGTGGATTGGAAGGGGCAGGAAAAGCAGTCCTGGACAGAGAGATCCAGGTAGAAGCTTTCCAAGTATGGGGAGAGAAATATTTTAGGTATCAAATGGAGCAAATTCAAGGGAAAGGGGGGGCAAATATCTGCCATTCAATCAATAGACACTTTTCAGATCACAATCTCACTTTTAAAATCATCCTAGTGAGGGAAACATCATTTCCAATCATGAAACCAAAAACCAAAATTATAAGCAAACATTTCCACAGGAGAGGATTGCATCAAGGTTTAAGTTTGAGGTGCTTGGTTTGATGTGACACTGAGCTTTGAAGAACATTGTTTCAGGTCCTATGAAGGAGGAATGATTTCTTCACTTAGGAAAAATTCCTCTTATTACCTTCTGAAGGAAGAAGAAAGGTCTTCCGGGCAAGTTTTCAAGAACAGTAAGAGAGGAAAAGACAAAGCTCATTAATATCAGCATCACAGAGCTTAAGAGCTGTTGATTCAGCCCTCAACACTCACATTGTAGCTGGGACAGGTAGAAAAATTTGACTGGAGTTATCTGTTGATTGAGATCACATTTCCCTGTAATTCTGAAGATGTGTTAAAAGTATGCAAAAATCTGCAGGTATAGAATAAGGCTCATGTCCTGGACCACGCTTAAAAACAATAAAATACTCTGTGGGAGGAGGGAGCCACCGAATTGATGTGGGAAAGCTTGCGTTGAAAAGAAGGTCAGTGTTTGCGTTTGTTTTTACATTGTCACTTTATACCTTCCAAACACTGCAAATCAGATGGCCAACACACTTCTTCTGCTGCAAAGAAATATAAGAGGGTTGAGGGCTGGAACATTCTTCTCCAAGTTCCAGAGCCGTCGGACTGACTGAGCTACAGACACGGTCTCATTTTGCCTTCATTGAACATTTATATTCATGAGCAAAGATCCAATACTGATGGCTATTGAGAGCAAGATGACCTTAAAAGCGCCTCTTCCACTGTCAGATCTGGTTGCGTGAAAAGGAACTCTGCGCTTCAAGTAAGTTAAGAGACCTGGAGACGTACAATGACCTGTTCAGACTGCCTGTTAGTGATATGAAGCAATCTCTTTGAACACAGATTTTCTTTCTTTAACAAATACACAAATCCTCCAAGATGTCTGTCTAATACTCATGGAGGAACTGGATAGTACTGACTAAAAAAAGGAAAAACATTATTGTAAAGCAAGAGAACCGCACAGACTGTAAGACATAATTACCATCATGGTAATACCTGTGTTCTGGAAAGTGGTTCAAGTCCTTACAGTCCTATAGGCAGGTAGCCAGTTAATTCTCTAGCAAGTACCTTCTTGTTAGAGAGGCACGTACACTGTAATGAACACATTCCTCTCTCTATGGAGTATTCTCTATGATTATATATAAAAATGTACATTTTTACATATAAAGTACTGGCACATGTCATATATATCTCACAACATAGGAATATATATGTAGCCGCCTACTCGGTATTTCCTTAAGGAAGGATGTCAAGCTCCATAGCCGGGGAGACCCAGCAGAATGCGTTAAGGGCAGGCATGATAGTGACTCTGATGGAGGAAGTATCTTGAGCTACAGTGGTAACTACTCCAGCCTCATCGGTGTCCCTTAAAAGCCCTGGGACAAGGCCTTCCAGAGAAACACACCGTTGTCAAGGTCTTATTTTCAAATGGAAAAATAAGACCACATTAGAAGCTCGCTGGAGGTGGGAAGTGGGTGGGGGCACGGGGAATGGGTTGGGAAGACTCTCCAGCGTTAGGCTGCTCTGCAGACTGGGGTAGGGCATGAGCGAGTAGGGGCATGATGTCACTACTACATGCAACATGAATACCAAAACTCAAATGAAACTGAAGCTGTACGGAAAATAAAAGAATTGTCTCCACTGGAGAAAGACAAAGGGGAAACTAGACTTCGGGCTACTGGGAACTGGTTTTACTCACAATAGATCACTACCAGTGTGCAGTTAAAATAGAGTAGGGGCCGAATTCCGAGGCAGCAAAGAGGGAAAAAAAATCAAAGATATGTCAATAATTAGAAGTTAAAAGAAAATTCCTACAAATACATCAGTCTAAACATGACTTGGCCCCTTGGGAGTCTACCCTTGGCAAATTTTCAGAGGCTGGGAGGGAAAATGTAAATCATTAGACCAGGTCTGTTACACAGGAAAAAAAAAAAAGAAAAAAGAAAATGGCTAATAAAATGGTAGGCTCTAAGAGCTTGCTCCTTGGCCAGACAGCTGAATTGGACTCAATTCCTGGATGGAGAGCTATGAATAAATGGAAAGAAATGCAAACGTTAAACTATACTACCACATGACTTCCAGAAATGGAATGTCCACACTCCATATTTCTCTGGATAATATGACATGATGATGAAGGTTACTGAACAAAGGTGAATGCAGGGGTGGGGGGGGGAGAATAAAAGGGGAAAGGATTGGGTTGGGGAAAGAGGGTTAGGACATTGTAGATAAAGGTTGGAAACTATCAGTAACTCCACCCTCATGGAAACTTATCATTTTAGGGTGAATTCTCCATGCATAGACGAACAGATTTAGATAAATGACCAGATGGGCCCAATGACCTCTTCAAATTAGAGTACCATTCACCAGCATGGGGACCACCCTAGTATGCTATTAATAATCCTGTCTCTCTAACCAAAATGTCTTTAACCCAAACCTATCTTCTCTTACCTCTTCACTTGTCTGGCCTGTGCACAAGGTTTATATTCAATAATTCATGCTCCCACACATAGCTGCCTCCTGGTCTCTGGGTCATGGCCTTCTAATAAAGAGGAATGACATATGGACAGTTCTGACAGGTGTAGAAAAAAAAAGAACCTCACAGCTGAGGGACTTGCCACACCAGCATGGTTTGGTGATGATTTTCACTTCATAGCAAGTAGGCCTGCTTGATGGTAAATCATAGACTTCACTAGCTCAACCAACTTTAAGGGAAATGAAGGTAATAAAGTTTGTTTTTTTTTAAATGATGATGTCCCTTTCTTCCCCAGAATAAAGCTAAAGTTTACTACAATTTGCTTGCCTGGAACCAAGATTGAAAAGTACCCTGGAAGTCAGCTCTTGTCTTGTTAAAAACTTGTAAAAAGTGGTCTGCCATGACCCACTATGGTGTCCTATGAGGGTCATTTCAGTTTCGCTGAGTCAGAGAGGCTCTGTCTGCATGCATTGTCTTCCACGCCCGCTTCCTGATGCTGTTCTCTATCCAGATATCAGAACAAACTTTTCAACTGAGATCTGATGCCATTTCCTTGCTTGAAATCTTCCAGTGGCTTCCTCCTATAGAACTAAAACCCAGATTCTTACCATGGTTCCTATTCTCATCTCTGATCTCATCTTGCCCAACTCTTTCCCCAGTGCCATTTGCCACATGAGCCTTCTATCTTTCCATCAAATGATACAAATTAACTCCTGCCTTTGGGCCTATTTCCCTCTTCTCCCTACCAGGCTTAAATCTCAGCTTCAATGTTACCTCCCAAAGGCAGCCTTCTGGACTGCAACCTGTGATAGCTAACAAAATGCCTTATACTCTCAGGTGGTCTTGTTTCTTTTCTTTCACTTAATGCCCTCTGAGTGAATTTATTGAATTGCTCACATGAGAAAAGTCTGTCTCCATTCGCTAGAGCGAAGGACTTGATCTCATTCACCACTTCATCCTTGATATTAAGGATGTGCCATGCACAAAAGAGGACACTTGGAAATACATTGGTAAATCACAGTCAGGACACTTTGTGGATGTCCCTGTGAGGGGAAGTTCTTTCGAAAATTTCTTCCCATCCATGACTGGCCTCTGTGTTCTACCTGTCTCAACTCCTCCCTACAAGAGTTTCCCTACAATAGAGTTCACCCTCTTATAGTTTCCACTCTCTCTTGCTTGTTTCTACTCTCAGGAGCTAGGGGATTCCTGGTCAGCAGAGCTTCTGCATTCACAGTTAACTGAGCAGGGCTGAGCTGACACCCAGTGAGAAATCCCCCTGAGAAGGCAAGCCAAGTCCTGGAGCCCAGGGGATGAAATGAGGGCAAGCCTTCTTCTGTACCATACACACTCATCTTGGTAGTGAATTACAATGGGAAGTTCTTAGGCTCCACAGAGACTCTTGTTCTGAGGCATCCAGAAATGCTTGTCTTCATATGCCGATGGGTTTTGAGGCACTGGAAGTGAATATGTAAATTCAGCAGAGAAGATGGGAGGCAGACAGAAGTCCTGAGCTGGTTTAGAAGCCAGCCTGGGAGGATTTCTGCAGAAACTTCTCTAGACCAGGAGATGCCGGAGAGATGGAGTAAATGGCTTTGTGCCCTGGCAATGCCACCTTTATGTCTAACCTTTTAGGCATCAACCATTATGTGGCCCTTTTGGAAGGCAGTGACAAAGGCCTCTGTTTTAGTTAGAATATCTTTACTGCATTGAGCTTTTATCACCCTGCTCCTTCTCATCAGACCCAAGGTCAAGGTCATCCATCTCATTCATCTCTTCTTTATACAAGATGGGTGTATTCAGAGAACATCCCCAAGAGAGGCCATGGACCCTGAGTGTTGGCTGTGTGGCTCTAGGCACTCTCGGTTCCTCACCAATCAACTTCGAAGCTTTGCATCTCTTAGTATAAAGTGGGATTCCTAATAGCCCCTGGTAATTATACAGGGTTATGGTAAGGATCAAAGCCACCATCACAGGGAACTTTTAAGACACTAAATCACCACAGGAGAGAAGGAATCGTTTTTTCTTTTTCACTAGTGCTCAGTCCAATTTCTATCCTAATTGCTGTCCTAATATTCTGTCCTAATTGCTGCTAAATGAATCATCTCCTCCAGGTAAAGATGCTTAAAGTCAGGGACTCTGTGGTGCTCACAAGGAAATATTTTCATTTTCATCAGTGAGTAAGGTACAGCAGAAGACACGTGGGAGACAGGCTGTTCTGGGAGCTACTGCGCTCAATCTAGACCACCCCAAAGAGGAATGCGCTTGAGGTTCACCTTGAGGACAATGGTAAACAGTCCTCTGGATGACAGCATTCTTTCCTTGAGGCAACCCTTGGAAATCAGAACCAAACATTGCTGACTTTTGATGTGAAGGCCTACAGGAATTCCAACTGGAAAGACGGTCACCATCTCATTTTGGAGACCAAGTCTTGAGACTCCGTGTTCTAGTCCGCCATCTGACTATTTGGTGGCCTCTTTCTGAATTACTGGAAATCAATACTCAAAAACTCCCTCTTCTAGAACCTCCAGTGCCTTCTTTTCTACCCCTTGTACCTCACTGTGCTGATGCTCCTCTAGAGTCAAGAAATCGAGGGGACAAATTCACCTCACACCCTAGAACCCATGAGGATGAGTTCTCATCTTCTGCTTTAACAGGTGAGGATGAGTCTCTTTAAACTGTCTCTTTAAACTGCTGGGAGAAACATAAACATTTGAGAGAACCCTCTTAATGTTTCATGTTTCTCTACCAGGAAGAGGAGAAGGAAAAGGAATTGGGGAAGAGGAAAGGAAAGCAAGGAGGGGGGGAGGGAAAAGAAACACTACTTACGCCTTTTGCAGCCACATTTCTTAATTCGTTTGGGATCTGTGATGTCATCATGACAAGCCTTGCAGTAAAAATAGGCCCTGGAGAAAGAGAATGGAAAAACTGACACATTCCATAATCTGCCCAAATGAAATGAGTACCACATTTCCTCCACCATGGTGCCAAATTAATGAAACATGCCAGCACTAATTTCCTTTAATCTTTTGAAAAGTTTAGACGTTTGCAGACGGAAATGTTTGTTGCAAGAACCATTTATTTCAAACAGGATTCTGTGATTTTGAACTAGCGATTCTTTTTCATAAACTTCCATTAGGAAGGAAAAATAAATAAATAAAATAAAACCAGGGAGAAAGGTTGCTGATGTGACCTGCTGTATTTGCTCCCTCTGTCTTCGCTGTTGAGAACAATATTTAATGCTGGACTTTAGGATACAAGGGCCCCGAGCCTGGGGGAAGGGGGTGAGAGGGTTAATGATAACTCTGAAACCCCATAGTCCACTCAAACATATGTTACAGGAGACACAAGCATGACAGTCCTCGGTCAAATGCAAATATGAACCTTGTCACTTCGAAAGTATCTTTTCTCCTTAGAGAGAGGGTTGAGAAGGAGCAAGGAGAGGAAGCTACAACGGCAATGAATGGGTTCAGCGGTCCCTCTGGGGACTCATAACCGGCTTCATTCCAAAGCTGGTGGACTCATTTCCATTACGTTGACCCCTTAAGCACAGGTAATCAATGAAGGTTTTCATCTCACTGTAGAGTTGGCCATTGGGTTGGGGTGAGCAGAGGAATGGAGTAGGTAGAAGGAGGCCTAGGATAATCAACAATAGCAACAATAGGGGAGGGGATCCCCTTAACTTAAGTGTCAATACAAGATTACAAAGTGCATCAAGTGCATAGGCTATTCAAAGATAATGTCGGGTGAGCTGGGTACCAGAGGCTCACTTTTGTAATGCTAGATACTCAGGAGGCTGAGATCTGGAGGATCAAGAGGGAGGCTTGGATAGAAAAGTCCTCAAGCCTCCATCTCCAAAATAGCTGCAGGACAGAAAATCTGAGCAAATGCAAGGTCTTGAGCTCAAACAATAATAACAGTAATGAGGTAAAATGATATCATTCAAGAACCACTTAAAATTAGTGCAGCCTGGGATGACTATTCCCTTTAGTGTAGATGGTCCTCAATTTAGGATTTGTAAGAGTGTATCTATACTGCCATTCAGGGGCTCACATTCAGTATGGGATTTGATAAATCACATGACATACTCAACATGTTTAATAGTATAAAATGAAATTTGTGTTACATGATTTTGCTCCATTAGTGGTCCAAGCTTAGACTGAGCTAAGCTATGATATATGGGAGGCTAGTTGTATTAAATGTATTTTGTGTGTGAGTGTGTGTGTGTGCTGGTCTTGGGGCTTGAACTTGTTCTGGGTGCTGTCCTGGCTAGTGCTCTACCACTTGAACTACAGCTCCACTTCTGGTTGGTTTTTTAGTGATGGTTAATTGAAGATAAGAATCTCAGAGAGTTTCCTGCCTGGGACTAGCTTTGAACCATGATCTTCAGATTTCAACCTCCTAAGTAACTAGGATTACAGATGTGAGCCACCAGCGCCTGATCTTAAATGTATTTTTGAATTCTGAGATTTTCAACTTATGAGTTTATTGGAATTCAATCCTATTGTATGTAGAGAGAGTATCTGTATTAGAGAGGTGATAAAATTCATTGGAACAATCTCATAAAGTTCTGGATCCAGAAACTAACAAAAATCCCTGGCTTAGCACCTTTACTACTCCAAATGTTAAATTGAATGCCAAGGGTAAACACAGTCATTTCTTGACTGGGCTAAAGTAATAAACACAATTCTTGACCCTTTGATTGCTAAATTCCTTCTTAGGATTTTCACAAGACTTGCAATTCTGGTGGTACTGATTGGACACCAGTATAATAATGGCTTTTGGACTGGGAGGGAGTGTGGAGATATGGCAGCCAGATAGATCTCTGTTCCCATGGGTAAGTTGAGGAGGTCATCATGACCTATTCAAAGTTTTGCCAGGCTGCAACTCAGCTAGCCCAGGAATTCTCCATCCAAGTTCAATGCTCTTTGTACTCAAGCAGATTTCCACCATTTCTTTATATGCCACTTTTCATCCAATTTGCAAGAAAAGTAAAGAACATGTCTATTTGCCCTGTGTGACATTGTGGTTCAGATCCAATGGGTGATGATTTGCCTTGACAAGGCAGGTAAGAAAGAAAGCATCCAAGCTGAACCAAGTAACTTCATATTCACTTTGTTTGGCCATTTTCTGTCCTATGTGATGTTCTTGTAGTTAATAATAATAGCAACCGTAATAAGAGCTAATCCTTGTATAGGGTAGATAATAGACCAAGGTATGATTCTAGATGTTTTCTAAGCATTACCATATTTAATCTTCAAACAATACTTTAAACAAGGTACAACTATTATATTACCTCTGCTTTACAGCTAAGAAAACTGAAGTCCGGAAAGACTTAAATGGCCTATCTCAGCCCACACAGCTACAAGTGGCAAAGCCAGGTCTCAAATCCCGGAGTCCAACATCTTAAATATACCTCTACTATAGAGATGATGAGTTGGAATAGATAAAAGCAGATTCTTTTTATAACTTTTATATTTAACTGAAAAAATTATAGGTTCTTTGGGATATGAGCCATGATATTTTGAAATATGTTTATATATTAGAGAATGGCTAAATCGAGCTAATTGATGCATATTACTTCACATACTTGTCATGTTTTGGTACTGACATTCCTGTTAGTTCCCGTTTTAGCAATTTTCAAGAATTAATGCCTGGTCACTAGGCTGTACAATAGATCTATTAAATTTGTTTTTACTAATGGGAGTTTTATGTGCCTTGATCATCATTTCCTCAGTTTCCCCAACTGACCCCTAGTAACCACTACTCTACTTCCTGCTTCTATGGGTTTGAAACTTTTAGATTCTACATGTAACCAAGACCATGAAGTATTCAGATTTCTGTGTCTGGCTTCTTTTATTTAGCATAATCTCTTCGGGGTCAGACAAATACGGTAATGAGTTACAAGTAAAACATGGTAATGAAATACAGGTAAAACAGCCTCAAACCCTTAAAACCAGCTTAAACCCTCAGTGGCTTTCCCTTTGTAACAAATTCAACTTCTGGGTAGAGTGTTCAGAAACCAGCCTCTTTCTCTCTGATCTCATCTCTTAACACCCTTTCCCTCCTCAACTCCACTAGCCACACTTTGTGTAGTGGGGTCTCTGCACACAATACATTTCTTTTCACCCTATGTCCTCTTCCTGGCTGATCTTTGCTTGACAGATTATTTTCCTTCATTCCTATCAGTGCTCAAATGACACCTTCATGGAGCAGCCTTCTCTTACACCCAACGTAAACCATGCATTGTTTCATTATGAATTTCGAAAATCAACAACCTATAATTCTCTCCCCTCTAGAAGGTGAGCTTCGCTCTGAAGATTCTTGGCACCTAGGAGAAAACCTCCAGAGTGTGAGCTGACTTGTGGACACTTGAAGAATGAACGAATAAGTAAGTGAGTATGAGAATGCTTTCCAGCATAAGATAGGCCAAGTTTTTAGGAGAAAACAGTGTAAAAAACATTTTTAATATAAAAGCAGGTGATTTTTTTCAATGTGGCAACTAATCAATTTTTAAAATTATAACTCAAACAAAAATGATGTCTTCAAGCCAAAGAGTCAATGTGGCACTGGTTCTTGAAAATGGAAGGGGTAAGGAGTAAAGGACAAGTATCCAAACATCCATCCCTAAATGACTTTTTAAAGACTGGCACTGAAAGGGTTCACTGTCTGCTTCTAAAGCCCTGCATCTGGAAGCTTCTATGAGCTACAATTCATTAACTTCTTTTTGCTGCTTTTGGGTTTTATTTGGTTGTTATTTTTTTAGTACTAGATCATCATAATCTCCTTTCTCATTTGTACAAAACTTGTTTAGTTTTCATCCAGAGCTCCAATGTCCTCCTGGTGGTTTTCTGCATCTTCATCTATTTGAAATCCCCTCACTGATAGCATTCGCTCTGACACATTCCACACCATGGAAAATTACGGGCTGGAGTTGTAGCTGATTGTGTCAGCTTGTATTTGTGAATATCATAAAGCACCAAAATGAGACATACTGCACTCTCTAATAGAGGAGGTAATGTGTTCTTTGGACTGCCTGGTATTTGTGACATTCATTAGTGAGAGATGAAATAAGAAATAGAATTATACGAATGGAAACTTCACTCCATATTTGCCATCTGGGAGGTAGACAAGCTGTACAGTGCTGCTGGGTGCTTAGCCTCCCTTCCCGGGAGCTGAGATGCTACTTCAAGTTCATTTGCTTGTTTGTTTTTCAACAGCTGGTACTGGAACTTAAACTCAGGGCCTAACATTCTTGCTTAGGTTTCTTGCTCAAGGCTGGTGCTCTACCACTTGAGCCAAACCTACACTTCTGGCTTTCTTGCTGGTTAATTGGAGATAAGAGTGTTTTGGATTTGTCTGCTCAAACTGGCTTTGAACCAAGATCCTCAGATCTCAGCCTCCTGAGTAGCTAGAATTATAGGTGTAAACCACCAAGCACTTGGCTGCTTAGAGCTTTTGTGTCCCACATCTGGATGAGAATACAATGTTCTCCTCCAGAAGATCTGAGGGTAGGAATAGTTGGCTCTACTCGTTCCCACTTTCCTTTCATATGGCCTTCAGTCTCGGGGTATTCTTGAAGAGTCATGAAGTAGCATGAACTGGGTAGGAGGGGTGTTTCTCTCCCACAACTGAATAATAGAAATCTTTTTGTAATTTGTGGGCCTAAATTTAAGTGATTGGAAAGCTCATTTTTTTTCAAATGTTATGTCGCTCTACCTCGCATACTCCTTTTTCTACAAGTTTTTGTAACTAATGCTATTTGTTTACTAGAGTGGGTAGTAAGAAAAAAAGGCCTAAGTATCGGTTGTCAAATAGGATCCTCCTGTGTTCAGCATGTCAGATGCATGTCGCTGATATATAAGTGTACAAGGACTGGACCTCCTGGATTTAAAGTCTAGCTTTATTATTCTCTAGTTGTGCAATGTGAGGCATGTTGTTTAAGCAATTGTGCCTCTGTTTCCTCATATGGAAACTAGGAAAGAAGAATGCTTGCCTTCTCAGAAAGCTGGGAATGAGCCCCTGCATAGCAAGACTCTCATCGGTACCAAGAGAATGCCCAGTGAGCCCTCCACATGGGTGTGTGCACATCATCACATTTGATGGGAAGGAAAGGAAAGATCAGTTCTGTTCTGGGCTCTGCCACTGGATTATGTGCTGCATGGTCTGTGGACAAGCCATTTATCTCAATGTTATCAATGATCAAACCAAAGCCTTGAGTTGTTTTTTTTTGGGGGGGGTCCAGTTGTGGGGCCTGAACTCTGGGCCTGGGCACTGTCCCTCAGCTCTTCAGCTCAAGGCTAGCACTCTACCACTTGAGCCACAGTGCCACTTCCGGCTTTTTCTTTTTTGCTTATGTGGTGCTGGGGAATTGAACCCAGGGCCTCAGGCATGCAAGGCAAGCACTCTACCACTGAGCCATCTTCCCAGCCCCAAAGCCTTGAGTTTTTAACCAGACTTACTTTCCAGGGTTATTTTGAGGGGCAGAAATAGACAATGTTAACATGCCTAGCACAGACCTGCCTTAGAGTAGAAACTCATTAAATGAAGACAAAAAGGGATTCTACGAACAATTGCAGACAGCAAACGATCAATAATTAACTTAAGGTGGCTCAGTGGTAGAGCGCTTGCCTTGCATGCATGAGGCCCTGGGTTTGATTCCTCAGCACCACATAAGCAGAAAAAAAAAAGCCAGAAGTGGTGCTGTGGCGGTAGAGTGCTAGCCTTGAGCTGAAGAGCTGAGGGACAGTGCCCAGGCCCAGAGTTCAGGTCCACAACAGGACCCACAAAAAAAAAAAAGAGAACTAATAATTAACTTAAACTATGTAATATTGTTGCACTGAGTGACCTGTCTGGTTAGTTCCACCCTATGCTCTACTAGTAAAATGTCCCAAGTTGATAAAAATGGAATGAATTATAACAATATTCTAAGGTGTTATGCAAAACCCTATGATTTCCTAAAAAGGGATAAGGACATTACTAATAAAGTCATGAAACAATGAGGTCAATGAAACCCTGTGCCGTATCTGTCAAGGCTTTTTACAATTGACGCTGACAACTTCAGTCCTTCACTAGGAAAATCAGAAATAGCAACACGAGTAATTTAATGTTTCATCTCAAATTAATCCCAATTGCATTGTGCACCTTCTATAGAGAACTGGACATTCTCAAGGCTATTTGTCCAAGTAATATTAAGAAAAGAGCCCTGAACAAGGAGCTGGCTATCCTGTTAGGCCAATGCATAATAACTATCTGGGCCTTAAAGATAAAGGAAAAGATAACTGGGCTTCCTAGTTGTAAAACTTGATTATTTGACTTCCAATACAAGGAATCATCTATGTGCAAACATGGAGACATTTGAAAGTACAATCTCTTTCCTAAAACTGTGTACCATCTGATACCCATGGAAATGTCTAGAGTCTGGGGGGGAGGGGGTGGGTGAGAGCCCTGTGTATATGAACATAGGTCCACCTCAATAGACCAGAATGTCTATCTCTGAGTCAGAAAAGAAGACAGATGAACATTAAACTCTTACCTTTTAACTTCTTTGGCATCACTTGCGATGAAAAATCCTAAAGTACCTTCTTGGATCTTAAGGTGGTTTCCAGGATTAATTAATATACTGCTCAGTGGAAAAAAAAGAACAAAAAAACAAATAAAGAGACACACATATGAGCTCATGAAGGCAGTACTATACTGTTTTTATAGGGGCCCCACTAGTCTAATGTTTTCCCCAAAGATTTTCTCTACAGCCTGATGTTCACTGGCCCACACACTTAGTTTGATCATGCCATTATCCAGTTCTTCTGGTTAAATCTCAGGCTGGCACACTTCTGATTGAAGACCTCAAAGCAAATCTTAGTTTTAGGGCCTGCGTTTGCATAATGGAACAGTCTAGCTTCCATGGTAGGCACTTGACTTGAAGCAAATTTCCTTGTAATGTGTTCTTTTTGAAACTTCAGTGTTTGAAGCATTACTGTGCTAAGGAAGCTCTAGTGACACCAATTTTCCATTAGATGACAGAGAATTAATGGGACCCCTATGTGTATATGGAAACATACATGAATACATAGGAAATGTTGTTGTGGGGAATGGTACAAGACACCCATAATCAATGCAGAAGCCAACTACACATTCAGAACTTGGATACGGACAATGAAGCAGATTTCTAATTGGAGCCCATGTAGGGAAGAATGTAGTGAAAAACAATGTCAGGATTTAGCTATACTTAAATATTTCCAGTCTGCTGTTTGTAAAAAAAAAAAAACAAAAACAGCAGAGATATTTGAAGAAGATGCATTGTTAGCATGTCCTAACTGGAAAAACTATATTACAGCACAAATGAGAATTATCACTAAAACAACGCATGCCCTATAGAAAAGTATGGACCTATCTATACACTGTCCTATTTCAAAGTGTTTTAAATAGATTAGCTGATGAAGTTGTGCTTGGATTGATAGTACAGACAAATGCATTGTAATCTAATAAATGGATGAAACCAACAAGCTTAATTTTCCACAGATCAAAAGCAGAATCCAGGTCTGTCTTACTCAGAGACAGAGATGAGGCTTTGGACTTAATGGTTGTTAAATGTCAGCACTCGAAACCAAGCAATAGACAACAAAAGTTTTCTTTGATCTGAAAAGCTGGTGATTAAGGTAACAGCTATTTGGAATCAAGCTAAAGGAAGTCCTTGGCTGTCCAAAGCAATCAAAATGGAGCGCTGCAATTAACATGTAATCTTTTTCTGTGGGTAAAACCATTCCTGAAAAGTGTTGCTACCATCAAAGTGATATATATCTGTAGCAACACAGGAAGGACTCAGGTGAACTTTTGTCCTGTTGGGAGAACTCTGAGCAGATCATTACTGCAAAAAATAATTGTTAGTGGTTACAAGAACATCCACCATTCCTTGTAACATGACCTAACCAAAGGAAACCTAGCTTGTACAGCTGCTGTTATTAACACTAAAGTACAGTAAGAGTCTGAAGATTTGACTGTTCTGCCCCAGAATCACAGGCAATAATGAGATTTCTTCTGAGTGAGGAAGTGACAGAATATCTTAATAGCATTGTTTATAACAGACAACAGTCTGTCCAGCCTCCTCTTAATTACCCCTCTGCCAATTCCCATGATGATATCACAAGCCCTCCTAGTTTCTACCATTTTGAAGAGGACAGGCCAGAATGTATATAGCTTAGATAGACTTCTTTTCAAAGTTAATTAAGAATAACTTTTTAGAATGGCAAGTTTCTGGATTTTACATGCTCCCTTAAAAAAAAATGTCTCCTTTCTTGCAACGTGTTCTTTTTATGTGCCCTGACTGTGCATTTTGGGTTTAAATATCAACAATTCTATCAAGTACAAAACCTTCCCTAGAACTCAATTGTTTTCCCCTTTAAGAGGGGATACATGGATTGGGAAGGTGGCTCAGTGGTAGTGCTTGCCTAGCATGCATGAGGACTTGGGTTTGATTCCTCAGCACCATAAAAGCAGAAAAAGCTAGAATGGTGCTGTGGCTCAAGTGGTAGAATGCTAGCCTTGAGCTGAAGAGCTCAGGGACAGCGCCCAGGCTCAGAGTTCAGGACCCATGACTGACACAAAAAAAGGGGGGGGGGAGAATACATGATAAATGATAGCCTTTCTTCAGAGAATTAAGAGATAAAATATAAATGGTTAGAGGCATCTTGGTTACTGTTATTTTTATTCTTGCACAAAATGCCCAAATATTTTCCACAAAGACATGTGCAGTGATGTATGGAATGGATCCAATGTTCCTTATCAAAATACCCGACCCCAAATGAGATAATGTTACAGGTTAAAGTACATTGCAGAATACTGTATAAGGATGTTCACAAAATATTCTTTATTGCTAGAGCCTTAAGAGTTAGTTCCTTGCAAGTGCTCCTGCCTGTGATCTTATCTCTATTCAGGATTCTGATCTAAGGATCGTGGTTCAAAACCAGCCTGGGTGAGAATGTCTCTGAGACATTTACCTCCAAAAAGACAGCAGGGGAGCTGTGTCTCCTATGGTAGAGCACTAACCTTAAACACAACAGTTCGGGTACAACACTCAGGCCCTGAGTTTAAGCCTTGGGAACTTCATGAAAAAAAGAAGAAGAAGAAGAAGAAGAAGAAGAAGAAGAAGAAGCTTGAAGCCCATATGAGTTATCTCAGCCTACAATGCCAAGCTCAAAATTTCATTGGAGGCCAATTCTTGTTCCATACAGATGTTTCTGTGTTCATTGTGGATGGGGTAGAAGACTTAGCTAATTTTTGTGTAAGGGGTAAAGCTGTGCTATTTACAGATATTGAGACAAGCTAAGGCAAGTTTTCTGAATGGAATTTAGAAAAAAATGGGTCCAGTCCTTGAAAAAAGAAAAAAAATTGACTAGAGACATAAAGATGCTCCCTGTGCTCCTTAAACTCCCATAGCTAAAGGTCTAGTGAAGAAGTGAGTGTCTGATTCCAGAGGCTTGTAGCATGCTATATTACTCATGGGAGAGTGGTGAGCTTCAGATCCTTTGTAGAAATACACTACTGGCTTTGATTTTTCAAACCTTAAGTCTCCCATCCACATCCCAAATCTAGAAAATGTAAAATGTTAATTCTCCTCTTCTCGAAAATGTAAAACAGTAAGAATTCCTCCCCAAATCAACCTCTTTTCTCCTGAAAAATGCTTAATACTCATAAAACTTATTATGGAATTTCTAATGGAAAATACATAAATTTTCCCCCCAAAGATCTCTGATCTTTTTAGGAGAATTTGAAATGTCAAGTTTGTTTGGTTCTCATGACTGCCAGAAATTTCTCTCCCTGTGCCCCTTTAAATCAGGCCTCTGGCTCCAACTTGGACTAATTCACTAGCTTAACAGAAATAAGCTTCAAAATGTGTCATATGTGGGAATCAGGAAAATCTCAAAAGAAAGAGAGAAAGAAAGAAGGAAAGGAAGGAAAGGAAGGAAGGAAGGAAGGAAGAAAGGGAGAGAAAGAAAGAAAAGCAAAAAGTCCAGGGGCTGAGAAGTTGGCTCAGTGGTAGAGCGCTTGCCTTGCATGCCTGAGGCCCTGGGTTCGATTCCTCAGCACCACATAAGCAAAAAGAAAAAAGCTGGAAGTGGTGCTGTGGCTCAAGTGGTAGAGCGCTAGCCTTGAGCTGAAGAGCTGAGGGACAGCGCCCAGGCCGAGTTCAGGCCCCATGACTGGACCCAAAAAAAAAAAAAATTGAAAAAAGTCCATATATCCATTAGCAGAATTCCAATAAGGACATCTTCTTGGCAGAGGTGGACATTTCCTCATTTCAAGGAACATATGAATCATTCCCTTTTTATTTCCCTATGACCCTGCCAATTTCTACTGAAGACACCGAGTGACAGCTGCATGTACAGGGCCCATATAGTCAGTCCCTTCTCCAAGGTTCTTTATTCTTTCATTTACTCTCACTATTGGGCTAGTTCTATGAAAACTTAATCTGCATCTACCCACTATCGACAGAAAACACATATTTTCTGTAAGAAAAACCTAAAAATAGAGGGGTGAAAATAAAAAGCAATCAGTTATACTTTTGAGGTTTTCATAGTAACAAGTAACGGAGCCCAACATGCAACACATGCTTCTCAGCCTTGTGTTGAATGAATGAATGGATAAAAAAATTGGAGTAATTGATTTAGGTTCTAACAGTCCTCCTCCTCCTCCTCTTCTTCTTCTTCTTTCTTCTTCTTCTTCCTCTTCCTCTCCCTCACCTTCTCCCTGTCCTTCCCCTTCCCCTTCCCCTTCCCCTTCTTCATCTTCTTCTCTATAATGGGGAAGGACAGTACCTCTATCTGTTCAAAAACCAAGCTGCAGTTCTAATCTGTCAGTGTGACTCATATTTTATAGGAGGTTCACCACTGAGCTAACAGCATGCCAGAGGCATTTAGTATGAATATGAAAACATGCTGCTATATAAACAGTGACCCACTTGGGTCATTGTTGGGAAGTTAAAATAGTTGACTGGGAAGCTAAAACAATTGATTTCAACATTGAAAGCAAGACACTTAGAGCTGAGATCTGTGTCTCTAAGAACAGAAAGCAATGTGAAGATGCCTGCCCCCGGGCTTTCCTTTGTGAGGTAGTAAGCTGTGTAGCATTTCACTGGTGATCTCTTGCTGAATGTGGCCACAATGATGAATTTGGGGCAGAATGGAAGACCAGGACTTGGGTGGGGAAGAAATGATGTTTTTCCCCTTCCCTAACACTTCTGCCTTATAACTGGCAAATATGTAATGATCTCTTATTCAATTATCACTAATCTCATGTATCTGCTCTTGTGTGTTACAACCAGTGACTGGTAATCCAACAGAACCAGATATTGTATTGAAGGAAACTTCCAACACTGTGGATAAATACGGTCGTTGTGTATTTTTCTCCCACTTCCCTCCATTTTGGATAGGCACTGTGTACCATTCCCCATGCAACTGAGAAAGAAAATACTACAACTCAGGTGAGAATATAGTTGACAGTAGATAACACGGTAATTATGCTTGTGTCTAGCAAGGTAATGGACTTCATAAACTAGAGCAAGCAAATAAGAACCATTGAGGACTTGCATTCATGTTCTGCCCAGATGAAAGTATTCCACTGATAAGAGGTCTTTCTGATCAAATGAGTTCATATACAGCTGTTTTGAGTTGGAACCTGAATAATAATTGGGTCCCCTCTCAGAGGAATGATTGCATTGCACTTTGTGGTTGTGTTAGGATACAGAGGACCAACCCTCCCTGCCCCGGCCTATCTCAAACCTTGCTACCCTTCTGGAACTTTTCATCTGGGCTTTGGATATGCACTGCCGGAGTCCCACTCAGCAAGATGCACACTTGTACTGTAGAATATGTGCAGAAGACACAGTTGTGTATTCCATGCTTCAATCTATTTAAGCCCAGTCCATTTACACAGAGACAAGAAAGATTGCTCCCAGTTGATAGGACTCAAATGGCCACCACTATGGTCAACCAATGATATTGGCAGTAACTTATGTACCCAGAATCCATGTCAATAATTTTTAAAGTGGAATATTAAAACACATTTTTTGCACATGATAGAACAGAATGGCCACATAAGGTGAGGCAGAAATAGCTAATCTAGGAAGGAGAAAGTTGGGTATTTCTGGGAGCAAGCCATGTCACTTTCTATAGAGTACACTTTAGAACAAGTCATGCCTGAACCACAACATGCCTTCACCACAAGGTCAAAGGACTCCAGGGCCAAAGGCCAACAGCAGAGGTGCAACCACTGTGGACCTTTGAAGATTCAGTGTTGCAGTAACTTCTTGCAGTTGGATCATATCAATAATACCAAACTGACAGGAAGCCACCTCTATTTATACATATCTACTCAAAGAGTCACAGAAGAGCTGACTTTGGAAAGAGTTCCAGACAAACATAAACACACACACGCACACACACACACACACACACACACACATCATGTTGTAAATACAAACATACAACAGTGACTACAACCACAGAGGAAAGCAACTCTTGAAAAGATGAACACATCGGCATCTCAATAATCTGTTTTCAATAATACTGTCTTAGAGAACACATTATTGAAAAAAAAACTGTGCTGGGAAATTTTAACCCAGAAAGCCACCTTTAGAAAAAAAAATGCCATTGATAATGATGTAGTCATGCTTCATGCAACATAAAACAGCATCGAAACAGGGTGAAATCACATGGCGAAAGTTGAGATACTTGATATTCAGAAAGAAGTCCAAACACACTAGAGGAAAAAGCCATGAGTTCATCCCAATAAACATTACTCATTCAGCAAGAGAGTATGATCATATAGCAATTCAACAGCAGCATTTGAAATCCTTCCTGAACACTGCCCAAGAAATTAAATATTCAACAGGAGATTGCCAAAAGAAGCAAGAGGAGGAAATACAAGTGTAAGAGCTTGGTCTCTGTTTGTGGATAAAGGACAGAAACTGTTCTGGAAAGTCAACACAGGGAAGAAGGTCACTGGGAATGTGGATATGGGATGCAGACAAGATGATACCACATCTGGTGGATACCAAGACAGCAGGACAGTACAGAAAACAGACACAAAGGGCTGGAGAGAAGCATCCTCCTTTTCATTTGAAGCATTTGCTCCCATCATTGGCGCCTTGACTGAAAACAGGACTATGCCTTTCCTTTTTCTTTTTTTTCTTTCTTTAATTTTTTTTTTAGGTTTCCTGCGAAGAAGTTAGTGCATCATCTAAAAGAACCAACAAACCAAACAAAGACAGCAGTAAGCTACTTTCAACTTTTAGATACTGTAGTTGTAGAAAGGTGTGTGCACATATATATATATATACATATATATATATGATATATATGTATATATATTGTATACATATATACTAGACAAGGGAATGAGATTATATATCCATGTATATAATCTTTCTTCTTGAATTCTTGGCAAATGGTTAGTCCTGTGGTTAGGAGTGAAGACAGAGGGTGGAGGTTGTAAGGAAAGTTAACGGAGAGTGCATACCGCTTTCGGCTTCTGCAAAAACGACAAGAAAAGAATTTAAAAATCAAACACTTTGATAATAAATTGATTGACACCAGAAGGAAAGAAGGAATAAAACCTTTGTTTCAAACCATTGGAAGTATGCACATGAAAACAAGGTTTTGGGGTTTTTTTGTTATTGCTTTTTTTTTTAGCAAAGCATGAAAACAGTATTATGGGGTGAAATCAACAACAGAGGAGGGAGTTAAACACAGGTTGAAGGTAAGGGGCTGGGAAGGAGAAGCAGCCTTCTCTGAATTTTAATACCTGGTCAGTTAAAAATGTGAGAGGAAAAGGTATAGATACTTCATAAATGAAGAAGATTAAAACTGATTTCTCAGTAAGAGGCAAAAATCACGTATTTTGTTTGGACCCAGATACGATGTGGGTACACCCTGTTTTCCTGAGGGGGATGCTCATATTTCCTTTTTCCACAAGCACCAATGTACTTATATACCAACACCAAGCCAGAATGAGGACCAATGCAGCAATGGCACACAAAAAACCTCAGCAAAGCCAAACATGTCCTTTCCACCCTTTTTCTGGGAAAAAATACCCTAAAATCCAAATAAATATGGCTTTATAGGGCACTCAAAGAAAAGACTGTTGTCTTCAGGGAGAGCACTGACTTCATTTTCTCAAAATGGTGGCAGCAGATTCACATGATCCATGAACTGCCTTTCCCTCTCTTTCTCTGTGACCCCAAGCTGGATGGTAGGGGGCAATTGATCAAGATTCATGGTACAGGTCTCTTCTGCCATGAAATTATAATCCAGAATGGTCAAAAAGAAGAAGGAAAAAGTAACTACTTAGCATTATCAACACCTCCATCATGACACTTTTTGTTGTTGTTGAGATGCACACATCAATAGAACAGGCAGTTCCACAAAGATTTACTTGGCAACACAAAGAATATCATTTGCAAAATCCTCCTCTACACAACCCCACCCCACCCCCACGGCACAGGTACAGTGAGGAGGGGCAAAAGTATGGCCAACGGTAACCCCAGCACAGTCTACCTTTTTTTTTTGTCAAAAAGCAAACGGCCAGACTTGCTCAACATTTTGCAAATAATATTCTTTACTTCACCAACATAGAGAAGAAAAATGTATCGCTACATATAGATTTGTCAACTGCTACGGCCATGTTCTACCTATGGCCAACAAATCTACCATTTTATCTTCCTTTTGGTGGATTTCAAATTTTGAAAAAGAAATAGCTCAGCATTAGATCAGATTGGCTTCGTGTGCAATCAGATCTGGTAGTTAAGGTAAGAGAAAACATTGGAATGACTGTGTCCCCTCCAGTGCATTTGGGTTTTGTCACAGTAATAGACCATACATTGAGAAGTCTGGCTTTAGTCAGTCATTCATCCAGAACATGAAACCCCCTTAAATGACAATAACAGAGACCCTTGAGTCTTGCCCCGAACTCTCCTCAGTTACAAAGGCAAAAGGCACAGGGATATCCACACCCTACACTTGTGCATCTGTTGCAACAAATGATTTACTAAAACAGAAACAGATGCTGGATATATCATTTTAGACAACAAAAGCCAGAGCATCTTTCAACCAGCTTTCTTCCAAAACTGTTTATAAGATTTAGGGAGCAAAAATCATGTTTAGTTCATCTGTAATCCATCCAGTGCCCCATCAACCACACGCTCTGTTAACATGACACTGTCCCCTTCTAACGGTGAGACCCTGTATTGAGTGGGTGTTATCTGTGTCACCCAGACCCCATCCCTCATCAGTAGGATTTGCACATAATTAAGTGCAAAATAAATAAATAAAGAGCACTCGTGTCTCTGAGCCCTGCTGTCTGGCTAATTTATATGAAGCTGATACTCTGCCACCTGGATGTCGGCTGTATTGGGAAAAGCACATATGGTACACAATAGGCTGCTTGTAATTTGGCTATGGAGAGAGCTGGGGGTCTCCCATCATGGCTCTACCGCAGGCCTGCTGTAATGGAGATCACTGTCCACCTGCGTTTTTGCTCACAGTAGTTCAAAAGGGTTTCAAGAACCGGACTCTGCTTTTACACTTTAAGTGTGACAAACACAAGGTGGAACAACTGAGTGACACCTTGATTGGTTCATCTCCTTCCTCTTGAGAAATCCTTTCTGGATACCCAGTAGGGCTGAAGATGCCAGGCTGGCCTGAAATGTAGGGGGCAAAGAGGTGCTGCATCAGCTTCCAAGCAAGTAACTCACGTGCCAGAAGGAGATAGTGAAGCAACCATTCCCAAAATGCACTTGCGCCCTAAGTGCCACAAACAAACTTACCGGCTCTCTCGGTTGGCAGACTTGTACTCAATGGCTATCATTAGGAGCTTTAGCTTCACAAAACACAGCCTGAAATGAAATGGAGAAGTCTCTCAGTCAGTGCTTCTGTGTGAACAAAGTCCCATAAGTGAACACCAATACAACCTGCCAGCCTCCTGACGCGGTCATTATCCAAAAGGATCCTCCACCCACCACCCAGTGCCCATGAGAAGGGGTGCAAACAACACCTCCCCATCTCCCCCCATGAAGCTCGACTTCTCCCAAGTGATAAGGTGCTGAGTGCGCCACATGAAAATTGAAACTCAGGTCTGGATGTCTAGACACAGACCGCGAGCAGGGATTGGTGCCTGGGGATTTACAGCGGGCCAGATTCATTAGTTACTTGGTTGGGTAGTAAAATGTTAACTACAGAGGGAGGGAGAGATTTGGAGCAGCTGGACCTGTTATTTGGATTCCATTTTGGTCTTTTGTACAAATGGCTCATACTGTTGTTCCAAGCAGACCCCTGTGTGATTTGGAATGATGGTAATAAGACCTAGCCTTGAAGTGCCCAGCACCTGACTAGAGCTCTGCCGCTTCTGGCTTTACCCAAGCTGCCTCACCTTGTCTTCTTGGGGCTTCAACGTGCAGAGCAGGCTGCTCAGAGGCTGCCTGGAGCCTGCCTCCCCCCCTGCACTCCTGCAGGCCGCTTCCCCCAGCCCCAGTGCCTCCCCTGCTACTGCTTATCTCTGACACAGATAGATAGATAGATATAGATAGATAGATAGATAGATAATTTTCAGAACTCCTCAAGCACTCTGGATGCAGCTGAAACACATAGCTGATTTTCCATGGTCCATTTTGAATATTACCTAATACCATGTGGCACCAGACTTCACCCAATGATTGCCTGGCTGTTAGGCACAGTGTATTGCTCCCTACTGGACTTTCCCTCCTGAACCAGAGCAACTTCTGGGAGTGTTCTGGACTTGATGGAATTTCCCCTGATGAATAGTGAATGGACCCTTTAATACACAGAAGCTCAGAGACCAAACGATTACCATTCATTGGGTTTTAAGTCTAAGTAAACAGTAAGAGGTGACATAAAGTACTTGTTCATAAAGATGTTCAGGGTAGTGTTATTTATACAGAGTGCACACATCAAGAGCAACCTCAGTGTCTAGTAATAAGGTAATGATTAAGAGGAGCCTGGGGCGACATGGTGTTAGGCAACATTAAAAATGACTTTTTAAAGCCGGGGGCTAGTGGCTCACGCCTGTAATCCTAGCTACTCAGGAGGCTGAGATCTGAGGATCACGGTTCAAAGCCAGTCCGGGTAGGAAAGTCCATGAGACCCTTATCTCCAATAAACCACTAGAAAACCAGAAGTGGCACTGTAGCCCAAGTGGTAGAGTGCTCGCCTTGAGCTGAAGAGCTGAGGGATAGTGCCCAAGCCCAGAGCTCAAGCCCCACGACTGACAAAAAAAAAAAAAAAAAAAAAAGACTTTTTGAAGAATATATAGAGATTATGAGATTAACAATTACTATTATATAAAAGGGGGCTGGGAAGATGGCTCAGTGGTAGAGTACTTGCCTTGCATGCATAAGGCCCTGGGTTCAATTCCTCAGCACCACATAAGCAAAAAGAAAAAAGCCGGAAGTGGTGCTGTGGCTCAAGTGGTAGAGCACTAGCCTTGAGCTGAAGAGCTGAGGGTCAGCGCCTAGGCCCAGAGTTCAGGCCCCATGACCGGACCAAAAACAAAACATATTATATAAAAGGGTACATACATGTAAATAACAATGCAATTAGGTGAATAAATATATACTCATAGAAATATATATTGATAAACAAACATTTCAAATACAGTAGAATTTTCTACCATGAACATTATCACTTATGTTTTAAGGACTCGTGTGTGTGTGTGTGTGTGTGTGTGTGTTGGTATTGGGGCTTAAACTCAGGGACTGGATTCTGTCCTTTAGATTTTTCACTCAAGGCTGGCACTCTACCACTTGAGTCACAGCTTCACTTTTGGAGTTTTGCTGGAGATTAAGAGTTTCACAGACTTTCCTGCCCAGACTGGCTTTGAATCATGTTCCTCAGATCCCAGCCTCCTGAGTAGCTAGGATAACAAGAGTGAGCCATTAATGCCCTGCTTATTTTAAGAACTTTGGAAAAACAAAAGATTGGTTGACTGGTAGATTGAAAAATAGGGTTATTTAGTTCCAGCCTGATAAAGAGATGAACTGAGTCAAAAGATAGGGGTGTTCTGATAGCTCCACTAGTTTCTCTACAAGATCCTCGAAGGAAATATTACTCTGGTTATTCAGGCTTCTTTTGATATCTCTATTTTACAAGTAGTAAAACTATAGCCCCTAAAAAACCATATAACTTGTATTAGGTCTCTTGCTGGCAGGTTATACAATAGCTTCAACTCCTGTGAAGCTTATTTTGCATTGGGAGAGGTAGGCAGTCAGTGAATAAGCAATAAATTTCCAGATGATAACAAGACCTACACAAGAAACAAATAATCATTTTTAAAAACTAGCATAAATGGGAATAAAGAGTATCTGGACAATGGGTAGGCTATCTATGATGGCAGTTCAGGAGGCCCATTCTGTGAGAATACAGAGAGCACTAGAGAAGGAGGAGGGAGCAGTCAATGATAAGGGAAAACAGTTTTCTAGGGAGTAGACAAAGCTAGTACAAAGGCCTTGAGGCAGGCAACAGCTCTGAGTATTTGAAACCAACCGTAAAACCTGCAGGGCTGAAGCTGAGTGAGCAAAATCCATAGTTCAGGAGATTAGAGATCAGAAGTAGGAGAAGCAAGGTCATACCATGGCATGCCACAGCAAAGGGTCTGCAGCTTATTCCAAGTGCATGAAAAAGACATGCAGTCAGTACAATAAGAGGAAGTGTCATCATCAGACAGGCTGGACATGCAGTTTGCTACTTGAAAGAAAGGTGCTGGTAAAGGCCTCGGCCTCTCCACATGAAGTGAGATCAATTGCTCCTTCCTACATGCAAGGTCGTGATTCCCTGGTCTTGCCTTCAACAGATAGCCGGATTTCAAAGGAGCATTTCCATCCAGGCATAGTTGGGCTCTCCCACTGATTTGCAGGTTTTCTGATTCCTGCCAGCAGACTCTAATGACCTGGGCTTTGTGTTTGATTATGTGGCTCACTGTAACACCAACACCACATCTCCAACAGCATGGGGAAATGCCCTTATTCATTTCTGTCCCCTAGAGCTCCACTCATGCTCCCTTTGTGGGGTTGTTCCTTCGAGCTTAAATCGTTTTCTTTTTTAAAAAATCATGTAGCTTATGTGATGTTTATTGGACCAAATTACCAGATTAGGTAACCACCATCTAATGTAAATAGTAGTTATATGCCAAAAAATCAAGGTGAAAGTGGATCTGAGCTTAGCATGGCTCATGCAAAAGTTAATTTGTTGATATCCTATGAGCGACAATCATTCCAATTTGGGATTCTAGTAGTTCGTGGGAGCAACGATCTTAATTGCTTTTCTGGACCCAGTCCATAAAAAGGAAGAATGGTTCATAGTAAATGGTGAATCATTTCTTCTTGACAACTACCATGCCATTTACCAACAGGATAGAAAAGGCAAGAAGCTTCCTGATGCAAAAGACAATGAAATCCACACAGCCTGGTATACATTCTTTAGCCTTATTTATGATGGGATCGAAGATCTGAGGGTTTTCTGGTCTTAAATTTATAGCTTCCTGACTTCCAAATTCTTACCTAAGGTGATTCTGCCATAGCCTGATAGAAACACTCTCTTCTTAAGGAGCCCTTTAACCCAAAATGAGCTGTCGCTCACTAGTCACAGGTAGAAGGGGAGAGAGACAGAGGGATGTAAGCCCAGTGAATATATGCAAATGGAGCCCCCTCATGCATTTGCAGACTTGGGCTCTACAAACTGTCTGGTCCTTATCTTTTTACACAGAAGAGGAAAACACAAGTCCTAAGAGAAAGAAGATGAAGAAACTGGTTCAAGGTCAAATATTTTGTATTAATTTTTTTAAGAAGTGAGATAAAAATAAGGTCTTGATGCAGTGTGTGGTACAGATGTCTCACCTACGAGGAGATAATTGAAGTTCACCAAGCAGACACAGACTGCTTGGACAACACAATGTTCTTAAAACTCTGGCTCCTGCCTGTACCCTTAGCTACTCAGGAGGATGAGATCTAAGGATAGGAGTATAAAGCCAGCCTTGGCAGCAAAGTCTGTGAGACATTTATCTTCAATTCACTAGCAAAAAGCTGGAAGTAGAGGCGTGACCTAAGTGGTAGAGCACCAGCCTTGGGGGGCAGAGCTAAACAAGAGCATAAGGTTCTGAGATGAAACTCCAATACACACACACACACATGCACACAAACACACACATGCACACAAACACACAGACATGCACACACACATGCACATAAACACATGCACACACACGCACACATACACACACGCACATACCACACGCACACGCGCACATACACACACAGAGCTGGAAAAGAGACAACAGGTGATTTAATAAAAAAATCTGATTTCATATGAAATAAAACATGGCCCCACTAGAACAACAGTGCATATGGCTGAAGTGACTGGAGCTGTGAAGCCTTTAGCTTGCCAGGGGGCAAATGCATTCTCCAAAGTGCTACCATCCCTACCACTCCTGATTGCTCAGGCCTTCTCAGTCTTCTCTCTTCCTTGTTAACTGCCTGAGCTCTCCAGGGCTCCATGTCTTTAATCCTTGCCCTAACAGGTAGACTCTGGGCACTGACAAACTACGCTGAATGATAAACAATGATTTAGACTGGAAGCAGAAATATGGCTTCCCTCTGGGAGTGATCCTGCCACAGAGAGTTGTCAGGGGTGTGGGCTTAAAGATGTCGAAGAGGTCCAAGCCTCTGGTGTGGGAGGATCAAGGAGGGAAGAGCAGACCAACACAAGGGGGCCAATGGGAAAGGCCAGACTCATACGGGTAATAAGGGGCGCTGAAGTGGTCATCCCTTGTTACTCTCTAGATTGAGCCTCTCAAGTACAGGATGCATGCTTTGCTTCTCTGGCATTT